GGCTGGTATTGGGAGGCCCGGTCAGGGGGGGTTAAGTTTTGACAAGTTCACTGTGTCTAGTGTTTGAGTCTTTGTTTCAAACCTCCATTCACCCTGGGGCTGGGGGGAGTGGGCAGGTCTGACCACAGGGACAGATGAGTCAAGGACTCAGGATCAGGCGAGCAGTTCCAAGAAGAGACAGGGCCGCGGTGCACGGGGTCCGGGCCGTCGATCACAGAGGCAGGACAGGTGCGAGGCAGAGTCCGACGTACAGGGCAGCTTCCCGCCCTGACTCTGTGTCAGAGTCACAGAAGGGCATTTCGACCTCTGCCCCTCCTCAGGACGAAAGGGCAGTTCCAAAGAGCATCGGGGCATCGGGGATCTGGGGCAGAAGGACTCGAGCCCTGGCTGCCCACAGGCAACATGTGGGCCTCAGAGCCCTGACCCTGGGGAGAGATGGGCCCCACGTCCAGGAGCGCTCCCCACAGCCTCCTGGAGCACCGTCATGTGCACACCCGAGAACAGCCACCGCCTTTCCACGCTTTCCCCACCTGGACGTGCACGATGCTCTTTGGCTTCATCACGGTTGATCCTTCCTTGGGCGAAAAGCACACAAGCAGTTTCTCCCTCCTCCACTCAGGGGTTAGACCCTGCTGCAGCCCAGACACAGGAGCATCCCTCCACCGGGGGACACGGAGTGGATGCAGATGGGAGTCGGATGGTGAAAAGGAATAAATTGGGCCCAGAGAATCACAGGGGGATTGTAGCCAGGGTGGCTTTGCACAGCAGGGTGACATGTGGGCAGAGACCCTCAGGAGATGAGAGGGGAGCCCTGAAGACACTGGGAAGAACATTCTGGAAGGGGGATGTTTGGTGCATGGGCCCTGAGTCAGGGGCAGAATGAGCCCCAGGACAGGAGCAGGAGGGCAGGGGATTGGGACAGGTCATAGGATTTTAAAGTTGGATGAAGCCCCTGAAATCTTGTCATTGAACATTCTGTTAATAACTCGGCTTTTCAGTAACCACTGCAGCGTCACACTAGTGAAGTTGCCCGTATCACTGTTTCTTAAGATTATGTAAAGCCAGGGGCAGTGGTATGGCCTGTAGTCCCAGCTACTCGGGAGGCTGAGACTGGAGGATCCCTTGAGCCCAGGAGTTGGAGGCCAGTCTGGGCAACATAGCAGGACCCTGACTCAAAAACAAACAAACAACAGATCCAAGAGGATCCTTCGTCAATTAGGCTTTGGTTGGATCTGCCAGATATCATCCTCAGGGAGTGAGAGAGGACCCTGGTAGAGAGTGTATCTCTCTTCCAAATAAAATGGCTCAGAATTAAATGGTTCCCTAGGGGATGTGGCTGTGAGATAAACTCTACCTTCTACTATGTACTAACACTAAGAATAACTGCCCTCAGAAGCAAGATTAGAGAAATATATAAAAGCATATTACTTAAACACTCATTACAATGAACTGTTTTCAATTTTGTTTTAATGTGTTCTATTCTTGTTTTTTCCCCTAGCCAGAGAGTGGCTACTTTGGATTTCCTTCTTAGAGCTGGGAGCCTTCTAGGGACACTCGTGGGTTCCCACCACCTCTGGAGCTGCTTGGCTCCCAGAGGTGGGGCACTTTTGCACCTGACCAAAGCCCTCCCCAGCTCGTGCCCTATCTGAGAGAGAACTTTATCTCCTTCACTGCGGGCTCTGGATACCTACCCAGGAGGTGCAGGCTGTGTGGCACAGGGCTTTCTGCCCTCTGGCTGAGATTCCAAAAAATGTCTTTATCTCTGTGATTTCTCTCCTCCTAAAGTGGAGCAGATAGGATGGTAAAGTATCAGCTCTAGGTTCGTTTTCCCCAGTGAGTCTTTCTTGCGTTTCTTTCCTCCAGTTGGGACTTTGCTGTCTGCCTTTATAGTCACCCACAACAGCCACTTTCAAATTCATCCAATGGGGAACTACTTCAAGCCAACAAAACTGTTACTTTTTCTATACTTTTTCCTCCTAAGCCAGGCTATTAATTTTGCCTCCCTACCTTATGTTTTTTTCTCAAAACTGTGTTTATAAAGGATTGAAAACAACAAGCAAACAAGCAAAACTCCAGAGCCCAACAGAGCGGGCTGGTTTGCCAGCCCTTGTATACTGGTTTTCTCGGGTAAACACCCTGACACCCAAATTTCTTGAAGGTTCTATTGTTAGAGATTATTTTCTTTGGCCGGACTCCAGATGTCTCAGCTGAGAGAAGCTTAAAGAAGAAGAAGAGAAACGAGGGAAAGAAATACGGAATGTTTTACAGAAAATGACACAGTTCCTGCCTCCCTGCGTCCCTCTGCAGTTGGCTCCTCTCCCACAGCACAGTGGGTCGTAGCCAGAGCATGACCTTCAGGCCTTCAGCCCTGGTCTTTCTCAGGAGCCCTTGCTCTCCTCACCGACTGCCAGCTAGATGGTCCCATCCAGATGTTTGCCACCCCCACCCCCAGCCACCCCTGTTTCCTGCTCTTCCCTGGGCGTCCCATGGAAAACCCAGGCGGCTTACCTGCCTTCTTCCCCTCGCTCCTCTTGGGACCCCTCAGTCTGGCTGCTTCCGCCCTCCTGCCCACCCTCCTGCCCTCCCTCCCGTGCCCTGCTGTCATCTCTGGGCTCAAACATCCCACCCCTGGCCTTGGCCTCGGGCCATTCACTCACACGCCTCCCTGGCACCCACCTGTCTCATCTTCCCTGCCATCTCTGGATGAATCGCCACTGTCACCCACTTCTCAGGAGGCTCTCAGAGGACCCTATTCAAAGGAAACCAAGCCCCCCACCATTATGTATGACTATAACACACCAATAAAATCTATGGGGGAAATTAGGCAAAACCTAAATTCTTAAGTCTGCTCAAGCTGTCTTTAGTCTGATCCCAGCCTGGTCCTCCATGTCTGTTTTTTGTTTTTGTTTTGTTTTTTTCCCCAAGGGAGTTGGGAGTAAAGAGGAAGCAATCGGGTGCATTAGCTCATGTAAACCCCCCCCCCCAGAAACCTATGTATATATATGGAGCTGTTGAATGAGAATCGCCTCTCATCTAGGTCTCTAATGGCTCTGGTAGGTCTGAGGTGCATTGCCCTGGGGTCGTCTCTTTGCATATGTGCCTGGAGTTTTCCTGGCTCTGAGAAAATGTAGCCCATCCATCCCAGGTACAGTGGTTAGTTACACAGCCTCTGAAGCTTGACTTCTAGGTTTCAAATCCTGGGCTGCCATTTGTTTGAGTTGTGTGGCCCCTGTCAGGTAACTTAACCTTTAAATACCTCGGTCTCCTCATCTGTGAAGTGGGGATAAAAATGGTATCACCCCATGGTGTCGTCAGGATTAAACAGGTTAGGAGAGTCCTACCTGGGCATCCGGGATAAAGCATCCTGAGAGCCTTATTGAGTAGAGGACAGGCACAGCCACCACGGCCCAAGAGGTGGAACAGGAGCTGTCCTGTCATGGGAAATGATGCTGGATGCCAACCAGCCATAGCCCTAAAACCTTCTCCCAGACAGGGGCAGGATGGTGTAGACAGATGCCAGGCAAACTCAGGGAGGTCAGCTACCAGACCAACCTGGATGGAAACTGAGAGCCACACAGCTTCCCCTGTGGGCAGGGGGCCGGGGATCACAAATCAGTTACCCAATGCCAAGAGGTCGGTCACCTGATGCCCCACCTCTGGGTGCCTCTGGGCTTCTCCAAGGACACCCCCATTCCCTCATACCCAGATCAACCCTAGAACCCAAATCCTGGCTCTTTCCTCCCCCTGGCAGTGTGGCCCCATCCCTCCCCACCAGAACTGGGAAGCCTCTGCCTGTGTAGGGCTCTTTGTGTGGCTGGAGTAATTCCCACTGAAGGAATTCATTCTTTTCTCAATGACCCACAGTCTAATCTTCCCAGGGCACATTTGCATGTCAAGTAGAACACTTGTACAAGTGGAATTCATCTTTAATTGGTGGAATGAAAGGGTGCTGATTTTTCTTGGGGGGTGCGGGACTTTCCCAGGCCCTCGGGGCCCCTCCCTGGCAGCCCCCTCCCCTCTGCTTCCTGCAGGGTGTTGGAGCTGGGCTGGTGCGGAAGAGGTTCCTGCCTGGGGAAGAGGGTTGGAGGAGAGCGATGATTCCCAGATGTTCTGATTTCCTCTTTAACTAAACGTGCCGTGGGACCCAGACTAACTTTGCCAAAGTTCATTTTATCCTTGATTTCCTAACACCGTCGCTTCCCGGTGCCAAACATCAAGAAGGAAGTCATCTCTGTCTTCTCAATGGAATAAATTTAGCTTCACAAAAACATGCCACATTGTTCTTAGTGTTTCATTTTGCCACTGATTGATGGAAGCCTCCCGGGGACTGGCATTTGAGAACCACGCACTGGGTGGCCCCTAGGACCCAGCTTAGTCTTGAATGCTGTATTTCCCAAATGCCACAGTCACACTGCATCAAAGATGCATTTTCAAACGTTAATAATTAATGGCCATGTTGATCTATCATAGTTTCACGTGGCCTTCCGCAGTGGAAATGGCGGCAGGGGAGAGGATGGTGGGAGGCAAAGAGGCAGCTGGGAGCTCAGCGGGGCTCAGGGAGGGGCAGCGGGGCCTGCATGCTGTGTCCATCTTCCCAGGACACCTGGTTAGACCTCTGAGGCTGCAGGAGGCAGTTGTATAGTTTCTATCCCTAGAAATACACGTGCCCCCCCCCCTCTCTTTGTGTGTGTGTGTGTGTGTGTGTGTGTGTGGTTGACATTGGGGGAAGGACCTCTCAACCCTCTCCAGGCCTCACCCCTCCAAGTGCTCCTCTGTGGCCTGGCTTCACCCCTGCATGTTCCACCCTGCCTGACCCCAAGGAAAGACGTGGCACAGAGTGGCCAACGTCCTGGTCTGTGGGGATGGGGAAGTAGACGGACAAGGCCCTCTGCTTCCAGACAGGATTCGGTTCCTTACAAGACTTGTGGGGCCTGGCCTGGTGCCCACTCCTCAGCCTGACCAGGAGGCTTCACTCATGGGTTTTTCTCCTTCCTGTCCAGGTGTGTGCGGCTGCTGTGGCGCCCTTCGCCCCAGGTATAAAAGGCTGGTTGACAACATCTTCCCTGAGGATCCCGAGGTGGGTCACATCTCTAGCAGGCACCGCAGCTCTCCCCAGCCAGGCAGGCCCAGGAGGACCGGTGCCCCCCGACCCGGGCCACTGGACCCCCCCATACAACCTGAGCACCCTGAAGGGAATGGTGGAGGCTGCGGGGACAGAAAGGATGGGACATTGGATTGCTCCAAAGTCAGGACATGCAGAAGAAGGCAGTTGAAGTTCCTTTGGTGCGGAGACACTTCTCACTCCTGTCTAAGTGATTGTCCCTGGAGGCGCTAGCCCTCCTGGGAGAATTATCTCTTCTCAGATTAGCAGGAGCACACCCCCCCCCCCATCTTGCACTTTGGAGAGCCCATGTCTCTGCCCCACTCCCTCTGGTATCTTCCAGGGGTCAGTGTGCACCCACGGGAAACCCTGCTTCTTGGCTTCTAAGCTGCCCCCATACATCAGGCTGCATTATGGGCTGTAGTCTAAGAAATGTCAGGATTTGATGTACTTGAGCTGCTTTGGGAATCAATGGCTTTTCTGGATGGGTGGTGGGAGGATCACATTTCTAGCATCCTCTGGAGAATTCCGTGAGAATAAAGAGCTGCCTTCGTTATGTCTTGGTGGTAGAGGCCTAGCACATCTTAATCCTGAGTCACGTTTAATGAGACCTTGTCATTCATTTTCACACTCACCCATGCACACATGTGTACATTCATGCACATATGTGCATACACATGTACACACATGCACACACATTTATATTTTTGTTATTCACTATTCTTATTTGCTTGTAGCTGGCACATGTAGCTGGGGCTAGTTTGTGAATACCTGGAGGGCAGGAACTGTGTCCCAATTGTCTCTGTGTCCCCGATGTCTGGCCTGTTGTCTGGCAGACACACAATAGACACTGGGAATGTTGATTCAGTTGAATGACATCTACCTCCAGGCCTGAACCCTTCTGCCCTAGCCCTGCCACGATGATCTTGAACCCTCTTTTCCAGGATGGCCTGGTGAAGACCAACATGGAGAAGCTGACCTTCTATGCCCTCTCGGCTCCAGAAAAGCTAGATCGGATCGGTGCCTACCTCTCCGAGAGGCTCATCCGTGATGTGGGTCGTCATCGATACGGGTAAGTACAGTGGCATGGAGGGAGTTGTCCAGAAACTGTTATATCACTGGGGGAAAACAACAGATACCATTTTAAGAAAATCCAGTAGGCTGGATTATTGGACAGACTGAGAAAATGGAACAGGAACTGAGGGTGGATTTCACGTTCCATGATTTGGGAAGAAGTGGTGTTGGCTCCCTACAAGCACCTCTTTTGGCATCCATTTAGTCCTGGGTCTCTACACTGAAGCCCTCCCACACATCTGGGGCACTGAGGAATTACTCAGCCCAGGACACACTATTGCTTTCATCAAACCATCCCTCCTCACTCAACTTACTGTCTTCAAGTCAGGAGGAGCTGTCCGTGGTCTAGTGAGAAGACAAGGCTGGGGCGATTTGTCTTTTAGAAATGCACTAAGTGAGCCAGGAATTGTGGCCCACACCTGTAATCCCAGAGGCTTGGAGGCTGAGGCATGAGAATTGTAAGTTCAAGGCCAGCCTCAGCAACTTAGTGAGCCCCTGTCTCAAAATAAAAAATAAAAGGGCTGAGGATGTAGCTCAGTGGTAAAGTGCCCTGGGTTCAATCCCCAGTACCAAGAAAAATAAGAAAATACACTGAAGTGAAATATTTATCAATCTTCTGAGAGGAAATTAGAGGAGAGAAGAAGTATTAAAGAAAATGACTAATGAATAGATGTAACTGTTTAAAAATTTAAATATTTTGATGTCAAAAGAGAAACCATCAAAGTTTTAAAGGCAAACACCAAAAATAAATATCATCTAAGACATGGGGCTGGGGTGTAGCTCAGTGGTAGAGTTCTTGCCTCACATGTGTGAGGCCCTGGATTAAATTCTCAGCACCTCATAGAAATAAATAGATAACAGTCCATCAACAACTAAAAAATAAGTTTAAAAGTAAGACAAAGGATTCAAACTCATACACAAGTAGTGCGTAACAAATAATTTGGGTTGGACTGGGAAGGTTGAGACACTAACAGATTTGAGGCAAAGGCCATAAATAATCAGCTTTCAGAAGGGAAGCTAGAACATGTTACAAACATGGAATAATATTCAACAAACTTGTAATCAAAGATGAGGAATAAATACTAAGATACCATTTTATCAAATTAGCAAAAAAAGTAAATACTTCCATTTCTACTCAGCAAATGGGACAATTCCTAGAAAGAGTTAAAACTGATTGAAATTTTCTAGAAAGTAATTCTGAAATATGTGTCAAGGGCTTCAAAATATGTGCCCTTTGACCTAGTAGTTCCAGTTCTATTCGCTATTCCCAAGGAATTGATCTTATGTAAATCTACCTTTACCTCCAGAGATGTAAATTATGGTTTTTTAAATAATAATGAAAAATAGAAATAACTTAAGTATCCATCAGCAGAAGAGTTCAAACTGGCATGGTGGTACACTCCTGCAATCCCAGCAGCTTGGGAGGTTGAGGCAGGATGATCACGAGTTTAAAGCCAGCCTCAGCAACAACAAGGCACTAAGCAACTCAGTGAGACCCCGTCTCTAAATAAAATACAAAATAGGGCTGGGAATGTGGCTCAGTGGTCGAGTTCCCCTGAGTTCAATCCCCAGTACCCCTCCCCTGCAAAAAAAAGAGAATAGTCCAGTAAATTATGGTGTATCTTGTTTGATAAAATATTATCTAGTCAATAAAAATGGTGTTTATAGTCATGCTTACCTTTTATTTATTTTTTTAAAAGACAGAGAGAGAGAGAATTTTTTTAATATTTATTTTTTAGTTTTCAGCAGACACAACATCTGTGTTTGTATGTGGTGCTGAGGATCGAACCTGGGCCGCACGTATGCCAGGCGAGCGCGCTACCGCTTGAGCCACATCCCCAGCCCCTGATGCTTACCTTTTATAGTATGAAAAATGCCTTAAGTGAATGAAAAATCAGCTGCATAATTATATTCAAAGATTATAACAATAATAATAATAAAAAAATTTAAAAATAAGCATTGACAACAAATCTCAGTGCCTAGGAAATATACCAATATGTTAAGAGCACTCATTTTGTGAGTGGTACATTTGGGTTCTTCACATACAGACCTGAAACTAAACCTTCCTGGCTCCTTTAGAATAAAATCCATGTTCCTCAGCTTGACTTCTGGCTTCTCCCACTACTTTCCCCTAACACAGCCATGCCCACCACACCTGCTATAAAACCAACTCCAGACAGACTGGCTGATGACTCCCTGGCTCTCTGGGTCTCTTACCTGGACCCCCCTGGTACCCTCCCCCACACTGTCCATCAGCTCTCTAAGGCCCCTTCTTCCTGGTGGGGAAATTGGAAAGGCCCTTGAACTAGAGTGAGAAGGTTTGCACGGGGCTAACAGGGTGCTGAGGTCCAGAATCCCCAGGTACCACCAGCAAACCTTTGTGTATGTGGAGGGTCGGAGGTTGTTTATAAGGAGCACACACTCTACCCCTGAGCTCTACCCTCAGCCCTAGAAAATCTGAAATCAGGCTACCCCTGTGTAAAAGCAGAATGTAAACCAATATGTCTGTATAATAATTTTATGTAATAAAATTAGGTTATATGCTCAATAAAAAGAGCATGAATACACTGTGCATGCTGATTATATAAAGGGCCTTGACATTACTGTAGAGTATACTCAAGCAAGTGAAAATGGTTTTATGCTAGATTGACCCTGAAACCGTGTGCCAGTAGACACATTAAACATTTAATACTGATTTTGCCTGCCCTCTCTGCAGTGATTTTTTCCCCCCAAAAAAATGTCTGGTAGCCAACAGAGCCACTTAGAATCCTTCCACTGCCCTTAGAATTGCAATTCAAAATTGGCATCGTCCTGTTAAAAATAGCCATTACAGCATCTAGGTATTTAAAGCCTGAAGGCTTCATCGTGGGCTTTAATCATAAACATTTGGAGAAGAAAAATCTGTCAGTGCTCCTCTCTCGTTCTCTCTCCTCCCCTTTTCTGTCTTTCCCTACCGGACCCCACATCCATCTTTATCTCCCTCATCACTGGCAGCGCCTTTGAAAGAGCAAAATATTCAGGTGCAAACAGCAGGAGGCACGGTGCGTCTCCCTGGCAGGACACAAGGGCCTCATGGTTTGACCTAATAGATATGAACCTTGGGTGTTGGTCCCCATGGTAGAACCCCCCTCTTCTGGCCACTTCCTCCCTGCATTGTCACCCCTTTCCAACTGTGTGGGTGTTCCTGGTTCACAGGTGTTTGGCATCAGGATAGCCAGGTGTCGGCAGAGAGGGTAAGAGTCAATTTCCAGATGTCGGTCATCAACATGGAAGAGGAAGGGCAGCGACATGCAGAGCAGCAAAAAATGACCCTTCTATTCCTCTCCTTCCTCTTTGTGCATTTCCTTTCCAGCCCAACCCAACTGCTAGAACACCCCCTAGAAACAGGGGAGCAGGGACAGTAATAGCAGTGCTGAGTGAGACTTGGGCTGATCCACAGTGACCACTGAGCACTGACCATGGCATGCAGGTGCTATGTTAGACATTGTCAGACTCCCGAATGCCCGGAACTGTCAACCAGCCCAGGGCTGATTCCTGGGGACAGAGACACTGAGGCCAAGAAAGGTTAGGCTACTCCAACCTGAGGACCTTGGCTCAGAGCTGACCTGGGGTCACTGTCCAGAAGGACACTGAGGTTGGTGGGAGGATGGCTGACCCTCTAGACAAGCAAACTGCAGACCCTCTGGACGAGAAAGGCCAGCCTTCCCTCCCGTTTCCTTGCTTCTGGACTTAAAACCCAGAGTGGGCCGTCCTTAGCGGGCTGACCAAATACATTCAAACTGCCCTGAATAAGAGATTCTTTGTCAAGGCCACTGCCCTTTTAGTGATTCTTGGGCAATGACTGGCCCTAGTAAATATGCCCCCTCTTCCTGCCTGCTGATCCCAGTCCCCGACCCTGGATCTGCCTTTCCTCTCCAACTAAGTTGGTTCCCAGATTATAGACCCCACTCTTCCTTCCCTGGAGGCTCCACGCCTCCTCCTGGTTTCAAGACCTATTCCTGATTGAGCACAAGGGTCCAAGTGGAACCAGTTACCTCTCCTAGGACTCGGGATAAGGGACTTGCCTCTCTCCTAAGCACCAGGCCCCTTATGTGTCTGCCTTGGTGACTATAGCTCACCTTTGGCTTGGTCCCCAACCGTGACCTCTTTCTACTGTAGACTGTCAAATGTTCCCTGGTCCCTTCTGCTGCCCATGAACCCCACCCAGTCCATCCCAGACACCTTGGGCTCTACTGGCCTCACCTACTAGAAAGCCCTTCTGGGGGGATTAGTTGTCATCAACTGCTGTGGTCTGTAGTCCACTCTGGCCTTCCTAACCCACTGTAAGCCAGTTCAGATTCCCAGGCCTGTTGCTGCTTTGGACCCCCCTTCCAGGACACAGCACCAGGTCAGATCTCTGCTGATGGTAACCTTCAGACCATGGTCCTGTTGAGTAGACACAGCCCTAGGACCCCAAGCTCTGTTCTTTCTGAGAGCTTAGGCTTAATAGACTAGACATGCTAGGAAGGTTATGATAAAATCCAACAAACATGGAGAACGTTGGGCTGGGGGGTTCCAATTTTCTAAAATACTTGGAAAAATTCAAGTGACAGTCATGCCATCCTTGTACTGGAATCAGAGATCGAGAACACAGGGCAGTCTGTTCAAAGAACTAGGCCTTATGCTTCTTTACTACTTTGTGCTTCAGTTTACTTCTACCATGATTTATACTTTCCATCAAAATTTCTGGTCCTGGTCAGTAGCTTTTTTTTCCTAACCAAGGATGATTTTTGCTTATCAAGATATTCTGCAATTTTTCTTTTTCTCTCCCCACCCCCACCAGGAAAAGGAAAAGGAGTAATCCAAGCTCTGGGGTTTGGAAAGCCTTCTGATTTCTTCTCTTGCCTAACCCCACCCGCCCCACCCCTTCCTTTATTTACCTCATTTCAACTCTAAAATAATGGCAAGATGCCAGCAGATGGCTTCATACAGAGAGATGTGGATATGATGAGAGTCTTCCCTCGGTCCTGCCCACCATGATGGGCTGTCTTAACCTGTCAGCTTCTCTGCAGGGAAAGTCAGTCCCTTCTGGAAAGGGCTCCAGGCCAGTCTGCTTCCCCAGCCTTGGGGCACTCAGGGTCTGCGGCACTGGTCCCCACAGCGCCCTGCAATATGCCAGGACCAGGTCTGCAAGGCACAGAAGGTTTCCTGGGCTGTGACTGTGACCTCTCTGAAGGGCAAAGCTAGAGAGAGCCAGGGATGTGGAAAGAAAACAGTAAAGAGGCTTTTTTTTTTTTTTTTTTCCTAATGGTTACTTGGTATAGAAGTCAGTGCAAGGTACCTAAGAACTGGTATCTGATATCTTTAAAAAAAAATTTTAGAAGACACCATGACTACCGTAACTTTATATGTTTTCATTTGCAAAGCTGCTGGCTCACATCTGAGGCAGTTTGACCACAGTGTCTGACACTGGGCAGCTGCCACCAGAAATATTGTGGGGCCAGAAATTGTCTGGAGCTAAATTGTATTTTAGCTCCAGAAGTTGTCCTATAGTCCTACTTCCAGTACTTTCTTTTTATTTACCAAACTTTGTTAACACACACACACACACAGAGAGAGTAGCTAATCAAGAATTTCAAAATATCTGCCTGGTACTCAGAATCAAAGATGGATATGATTTGGATCAAGACATAAAGATGAAGAAATGTTTGAACTCCTCCTTTATTAAATATGCAGCATATGAACCTGACTTCAGACTTCAGGCAGCCGTGACATTTTAAAGCCCCCTTGCAGCCCTAATTCATCCTGATTCTGTTCTGGGCTGGAGCCGGTGCTGGGTGGACTGGCTGCCCAGACACTGGCAGGCTGAGGTGGAGTCTCCTGGATGCCCAGGAGGTCACTGCATCCACGACGCGCTCACCCCAGCCAGGCAGTAGGGGTGGGAGGGGCAGGCACCCGGTGAAGGCCACGGTGCCCCTCTCCCCAGGTACGTGTGCATCGCCATGGAGGCGCTGGACCAGCTGCTCATGGCCTGCCACTGCCAGAGCATCAACCTCTTCGTGGAGAGTTTCCTCAAGATGGTGGCCAAGCTGCTGGAGTCAGAGAAGCCCAATCTGCAGATCCTCGGCACCAACTCGGTAAGGAGCAGCCAGGGGCCTTGGGGTCTCCCAGCCCGGATGTGGGGGTGGGGGTGGGGGTGGGGGTGGAAGACCTCAGGGTCAGCACTGCTCTGTTCTGTTCCTGCTTGGTTTCTGACCGTAAGCACAATCCACTGCTTGTCTTTCTAATTTAAATAGATCTCACATAATTTAGCAGGCACAGTGGTACACACCTGTAACCCCAGCATCTCATCCTGAGGCGGGAGGATTGCAAGTTGGAGGCCAGCCTCAGCAACTTCACCATCACGAAATAAAATAAATAGATAAATATTGTATAATTTATATATTATCATTTCCATGAACATATAACAAAAGAGTTTTTAAAAAATAAAATCTGCCATTTTAATGCGCACACTTCAGCGGCTTTAGTATATCAACAAGTTGCACAACCATCAACAATATCAAGGGTACTTATCTTTAGACTGATCTTTAAATTTTTTTTTTTTACTAATAGATGGCTCCCTTAAATAATTTTAACTGGGGCCCCCCAAAATAAAAACATAGATCAAAACAGACGTTCCTTAAAGGAAACCCAGGGTTCTCATAACCCAGGATCCCAAAGGGCATCTTATGAAAGCTGGTCCAGGTTAATATAGGGTAAACTGATACACACAGGACGAAGGCACCAGAGACGTGGCAAAGCCCTGGGCTCCTGACTCCCTTCTGCCCTTTCTCAGCTGTGCAGCCCTGACAGGTTGCTTTCGTGGGCCTCCGTCTTTCTGTCCACACCACCAGCAGGTTGTACTTGGCCTCTGCAGGCCCTGCTGGGGCTGGTCTCAGTACAAGTGCTGCTCTTGGGGGAGGTTATGATTTGTGAGAGAACAGCTGTCAGAGAACTCTGGGTCATCTGTGTATCCATACATTCTTGAATGATCTGGACGCTTTCTTTAATTACTGGCCTTCTTGCCTCGTCCCTCCCTCCAGGGCATGCTTTGAGCTCTGGGTCTTCAAGCAGCTTAGATATGACTGTCTTCCAGGTCTGGGTGGGGCCTTATCTACCTGCAGAGAGCAGGAGTGAAAGGTGGAAAGCTTCTCCTCCTCGTTCCCAGCCTGACACTTGTGATTCTTGTTGTGCTGGTCAGGACTTTTTCTTGTTCCACAGAAGTTGGTTTAACAAAAAGTATCTTCTAACATCTTTTCCCAGGACCAGGAATGACAGCCTATTCCCTTCCCTCCCTCTCCCTGTGAGCCAGCTGCCTTTGACAGATTACGTATACAGTAGCTGAGGGCAAAGTCCTTTGTCAGGTTGCCCTGGCAACAGCTTCAGATACTGTTTTAGTTGTCTTGTTCAAGATAACTACAGTCTTCAGGGGAACATCTAAATGGAAAATAAACTAGCCATGGTGCATCCATGGGGGCGCGGAACAGGTGGCTGCCAGCTCTCATTTTTCCCATGGCAAATCCTAGCGCAGGGTAGGGGTTTGATTCACTAGAGCCTTGAAAATTCAGAGTCCTGTGAAGGGAGGTCGAGGATGGAGGGGGGCTATTCTAACTCAACTAGGGAAACATTGCCATAGATTCACACCCCAACCTGGAGGCAGCCTTTCCTCCTAGTGTCCTTGTCTCTAACCAGGGACCTTCTGGAGCCTTCCTGAGAAGAGCATTCTTTGACTCTTCTTCGTTTTAGACATGCCAGCATGCTAATCTTTAACATAAGCTTGGAAAGTTTAGCTTACGAGGATCACAAAGGTCTTCCGGGATTTGCAGAAGTAACAGAAGTGGAGGGAAGAGAAATAGAAGGCTCTGGGCCCTTTCCTCCTCCTTCACCAGGCCCTAAATGCCTTTAAACTGTTTTTTTAATTTAGATAAGTGGTTTTGCTACTAAGAAAAGAAAGAGAAGAGAGAGAAAGAAAAAAAAATTGAACCCATTTAACCCTTCATTTTGCTGGGTTTCTCTGCCTGGAAAGGGAGGTCCAGAGAAGTCAACTAACTTTTTGTGCTTGCACAGCTAGCTTCAGCTGGTGAGTTGTTCAGCCCCTGTATCCTCCGCAGAATTGGAGACTCTGCAAGGCCAGAGGCCTATTGCCACGTCCCACCCAGTGTGGGGTTCTCTTCCCACAGCCCAAGCCTTGGCACCCAGACCCTGGGCGGATGTTCCCTGGGACCAGTCTCCGTCCGCCACGAGGAGGCCCGTGGTCTTGAGGGTGAGAAGTTGAGGATACGCCTCCCCCTGCACCAACTCTACCTCCCTGCAGCTTCTTCCTCAGACCTGGTCTAGCTGCCTCAATCAGCTCAAAACAAACCTCCCGCCTTGGGCTGGGGCTGGGGCTCAGCAGTAGCGCACTTGCCCAGCATGTGTGAGGTGCTGGGTTTGACTCTACCCATTTCAAGGTCCCCGAACCTGACCAATGACAATGTCCTGGAGAGTTTGGGAAACCTACAGATTCCCACTTCTCTACCATACTTCTTGGGGGTGTTGGGTGCTGCACCAAGGCTGGTGACAGGAGGCACAAGCTGTGGTGTCCCCCTTTTGGGTGATCGGGGTTAGGGTGGGAGCAGCCTTCCTCTCCACTGGGAAAGAACATTCTGCCCTTGCAGCTACAAATCTATAGGAACCTTGCAAATTGCGCACCTTCCTCCTGATGCCTTTCTCCTTCAGGGCTCTTCTCCTCTGTACCCTTCTTCACACGCCTTTGACTTCCGTGGCCATCATCCTGACTCTGCCACGTGGCTTGTCCTTCTTAGGAGGCTGGGTGAACTTCCCACCATGATGTCTATATCCTAATTCCTGGACAACCTTAGTGACAAAAGGGACCTTGCAGATGTGGTCAAGCTAAGGAGCTTGAGTTGGGGAGAGTGTCTTGGACTGACCAGGCGGGCCTGGTGTAATCACAGGGTCATTATAGGAGGGACACAGGAGGATTGGTCAGACAGGGGTGATGTGCTGACGGAAGCAGAGTGACAGAGGGAGATTGAAGCTGCTGTGCCGTGGCCTTGAACATGGAGAAGGGGTGAGGCACGGGAAGGGTGTGAGTGACGCCCCTGAGGTGCCGTGGTCTCCGAGGCTCTGCACCCCACCACCTTCTCACCCTGGATGCTCCCCTTGGAAAAGTCCTCAACTCTGTGGTTTTAATTGTCATCTGTAGGCTAGAAACAGTCCCACCTCCAATGCCCATCAGCCTTTCTGGAGACCAACCTCCTGGAGGCAGGTTCCAGGGGATCTGGTGGCTCAGAACTGCAAGACCAGGAATGCTTAAGTCAGGGGGCTCAGCAACAGAACAGGGGTGCAGAGGCAGCTGGTGCATCCCCAGGTCTCAACTTCCTGAATGCAGGCCCTGTGGGGCCACTCAGGGACAGAGGGGCTAGCTTCTGACAGGCAGCAAGGACAAGAGAGTGTCCCCAGAGTTCTTGGAACCGTGGCTGGTTTTGCAAAGATTCTTGAAGGAGTGATGGCGTAATGTGGGTAGTCAGGAGAGCATGTCTTGGGTGTAGGGAATTTCCACGTCTTGGCTGGCGATCAGGACGTTGGCAGGACGCAGTCAAGTTGCTAGGGACTATTTCTCTGGCTGTAGTGAAAGCTGCTTAGGGAGTTGCTCTAAACGAGGACAGTGAGGAGAAAGGGGCAGGCGGCATGCAAGTCCAACCATGTGGTTTGCAAGATTTGCTTTCCTGCTAGGATTTGTCTTCTGAAACCAAGAGGGAGGTCCCATTTCCCCTCTGGTAGGAAAATGCACCAAAAAAGCCTGCAGTCCTCTCCCTCTCTCTGCCCGGTGTGTTTTCCTAGCTGTTGTTGATAGCTGGAGGTCGTTTCGCTCAGAGGGCCCATCTCTAGGAGAGGGAAAGGCGAACTCTGCTTAGAGACACTTTGTTGGTGCCAAAGCGAGGCCAAGCAGCTCAGCTTCCCTTTTTCAGGCCAGGGGAGAGCTGTGTGTGCAGTGTCAATATTTGGAGTCTGCTTTCCCTTTTTTAACAAGGCCCTTAGTAACCCACAGCTTTTACACAACTGTGGCTCCTGTGGACAGTACCGGAGGGTGGGTGATCGGCTCCAGCAAGCTTGGCACCCTTTGTTGTATATCAAGAGCTGAAACTTTGATCTTGAAAGGGTGACCCTAGCCGTGCCCATGGCCTTTGAAAAGTCACATGTTCAGTATCTTCAGTTTGTTGCTATGGAGACCTTCCTCATCATTGCTCTATCTTAAAAAAAATAAAATAAAACAAAAACCCAACTTTATTCTCCCATGATTTCATGCATTAGGCAACTAGCATTTAAATAAAAGCCATTGGTAAAGTGTGAATGAGCAATGGTTGAGGTGAAGCAGATAGGAAGTCCCTGCTGTCTCATGCATTTAGAAAAATAGTGACCAGTCAGTCACACAGGTGGAGCCCAGTGAAAACTCACGGACAGCCAGTCAAAGATGCACCAGGGGAGGTAACCGTGAGTGTGATAGGCAGGGCTGATAGAGTTCTGTCATGTCAGGCAGAAAAAGTGGGTGCTTATGTGATCCTTGTTTTACAGATGGGGACATTGAGGCTCAGGGAGCTTTATTGCTTGCCCCAGATCATCCTCCTGATAAACAGTTGGGGTTCAAACACGTAGTCTGATTCCAAGACCCACCTCACACTGCGTCATGGAAGAGGGATGAAGGCCTTACTTACTGGAAAGCCCAAGAGTCCCAACAACGTCTGAGCCAGGTTGGGCCCCTTTCCCAGGTAGACTCCCACGGTACACATGGTCCCTTGACCAGGGTCCCTTGAAGTGCCCCTGTCAGAACCTCTAAAGCATGTTCACCAAAATATCCCACTAGGCCCTGTGTCAACCCCTGGAAGACTCAGGAGCAGTGTGGGGTGGGCTGTTTGGAGCTGCCCCACAGTGACACGGGCCAGTGCTCCCTGCAGGTAGTCCATCTGGGTTGATGTGTCTGGCTTCGTGTTTACAGGCTCACGGGGAAGCTCCTCCCATCAAGCATCAAGCCAAGGGGTTCCCAGGTGCTCACAGAGCCTGGTGCCCACAAGGCCAGCCCTGTTTCCACCCTTAATGC